CTTCCTCATCCAAACACTTCCTCCACCTTCATCCGGGGTAATCCTGAGACATGGCCCCTCCGAGCCACCTCAACTGGCTCTTGGAGAAGCAGTGGCTCTACTCCGAGCTCCTCACTCTAATGGAGCTCCCTGGCATTTTGACCGCTTGTATCCACACTAGTATGTGTTAAAATGAAAGTGTCAGAAATAAGTAAAACAAGACATTGAAAGTTAATTTGTATTGCACTTTTTCTTTTATTAAAGACAACAAAACGGACAAAACACATCAACATTCAACAAAAACACAAAAGTACAACCCCAAACAGAACAAAGAAAGACAAGACAAAAAAATAATACCGTATTATTAATAGTAATTATCATAGCCATAACTATAATAATTATAAACTGAATTATAATAAAAATTAAGTAAACAATTAACAAAACTGAAAGATATTGCACAATTCATACACACAAGCTCACACACACAACTGGAGAGGTTAGAAAAATCTACTTTACGGTGAAACTGAACTGCGTTTCTTGTCCTCGTCTCGTTTGCTCGTCCATAGACATCGCACTAAAACGGTTGTTGATTTTGATGTTTGATTTCAGCCCGGAGTGTCCGTGTCCCTCGTAAACCCCCAGCCGTCCAGCGGTCTGTTCTCTCAGAAGCTGCACATCCGCCAGGGCGACAGCAGGGACAGCATCGTGCGCCGCCTCGCCAAAGTCAACCGCCTCATCAAAGGTTAGAACGCTCAACATGCGACATCACCTCAAACACTGGCATTCATTCAAGACAGTAATGTAAACATAAATATAGTCACATAATTATGTTCTCAATGTCAAATTTAATCTTTAAATTCCATCTTTTGAATTGCAGAAACATTTTATTACATTGTTTTAGTTTTTAGGCCTAATATTTGTATCAAATTGTATCCGGGTTTGCTATTTTGACAACTAAAATATACGCCTTTACCTTTTGTATGCCGCATTTTTTTTCTAACCACGTTTATTTTGGGTGATTCCAAAGCCGTCGTTTTAACCATCACTCAACATTTAACTTCTGCAGGATGTGGACTTTCCATGACTCTTTCTCTTTCTGACCCTTCCCCTCACACCTCTTCATTATCAATCTGCTCCAAAAAACAGACCTGTCTCGGGTGAAACTGATGAGGTACGAAGACCCGCTGCTCGGCCCCCGCAGGATCCCCGTCCTGGGACAAGAGGAGCACGGGAAACTCCCCATCGGCGACAAGTCTGTGTTCAACGTGGACCTGGAGCAGAGGAAGGTCACTCTGGCCGACAACGGGCTGAGCGTGGACATCGGGGACACTCTGGTTTACGTCCTTCAATAACTTCAATCCCGTAGAATGTAGAGATTCAGCTGGGACTAAGGGAATAAGGTCATTTTTTTGTTTTTTTGTTTTGGGTTTAACCAACGCAAACATGCGGTTGGCTGTGGTATTCTGTTTTATCAATCCATCAAATAGTAAATGTCAGAAATGAGATGTGAAGCAGATGAAGTGAACTACTAAAAACAACATTGATAAAAATATGTAAGAATAATGTAGGGGAACTTTTTGTGTGAAGCCAGGCTGCTGCATAGATACAAGAATTAATAAAACTTGTTGCATATTATGTCACATTACCTTAGACTGTATATAGTCGGGCTAGCTCAATGAAGCCCAAAAGTGAAGTGCTCATGGACAAAGTTTTGCTCCAACTCGCTCTGGCTCCTATTGACTTGCTTTGAATAGTTAACTTCTCTAGCTCAGTAACCGTTTTTTTTGTCACACCCACCATTTCTGGGTTTAAAAATCTGTGCTTTAGCGTTCTCAAAAGCACAACATTTACCAACCAGATGCCTTCATTTGAGGAGGAAAACTCTAGTTTATCTCAGCAACCATTTTAACAACATGTCTGCGCCTACATATGCCCATATAAGGAAATTGGCTCCAACTCGCTTAAGTTCAAGTCGGCTTCTTCCGCATTCGGCAAACACCATGGAGCAGTCCACTCCTTCAGCCTCATCTACATGTTTCTTAGATATTGTATTTATTACTGTTTATCAATTACAGTAGTCTTCAGTCTTAGTTTCAGGACACCATCTTTCAGCAGTCTCACAAAACATTTCTGAAAAAAAGGGTTATGAAAAAACAGTACTAGATCCAAATTTCTTCACACCATTTTAAGCAATAATAGGTTATGGACAAAAGGGTTAGCAAAAAAATCAGATATTGCAGACTGGGGTTATAGTTTCATGTTGTTGTTTTTTTTAAATTATTATTATTGCTAAACGATTTACATAAGAACAGTTACAGTACATACACAACACCTCTCCACAGTTCTGACATAAGCGTGCGGTGGTATGAGTTCTGTAAAGTATTTTGAATGACTTTGCGTGCAAACCGTGCTGTAGCCTATAATCTTATTTACATTTCATAGACTGCTCTCCATGAAACCATATGGTACAAAATTATAGATTGTTGCGAACACAAGCTATATTTTACGCTTTTACTGCTGGAGCACAATATCCCCATGACGTACGCCCACAAGTATTTGGTATTGGGACCTGAATAGTCTGACGAAACATCGACATCGTTTGTACTTTAAGCTTGTTCTGTCTCCATACTACGTCATAAGTTATATCCGCCATCTTTGACCATTTATATGTGTAGATTTCCGTGTCTGGTCTGTTGTCCATTGTAATTCAAACAAGGAGTAAGGAGATATCTTTGTAACTTTTAAATAAAGTTTTCTGAAATGGAAATGACGTACTTTGTGGTTGTTTTATTCTGGTATTTCTTCCAGCAACTGTTCTAAATATTCCCATAACCTTATAAGTTGCAGATGTATTCATAAGATCTATCAAGTAAAGGAAAGTAAATGGGTGTTAGGGCAAAATATTAATGCCGTAATCCACATCAAGATATTTAAACACATAGTCGGGAAAGAAAAATGTGCAATACTTGCCTGCATTTTCTTTCACATTAAGTTGCTCATACAGATTCAATGAAGCAAAATTAAACAAGGAAAAGTCCCTCTAAGTAAATAAAATGTAAGGTTTGTTTTATATAGCGCCTTTCACAGACCAGCATCACAAAGCGCTTCACAATTAAAAAACATAGAGAAAAATTGCACACATACTGTACAAGTCGGTTCCAAAAACAAATATACAGGATAGTCATGAACACACTTCAGATGAGCCTTTGTACAGTGAGGTGAGAAAGTTACCTAAACAAATAAGTCTTAATTTGCATCTATTTCTTTAAGCCAGGGGTGTCAAACACGTCTTCAAAGCGCTGGTGTGGCTACAGGGGATCACTCCAACCAAGCAGGAGCACAACAGACTCCACCCATATCCACAAGTCCAGTCGTAACCTGGAGGCTTAAGGAAACGTGACTGGTGTGCTCCGGTGTGGTTGGAATGAAAACCCGCATCACCTTCAAGTGGTCCATTTTAACAATTATATCAAAAATCGAAAATCTCCAATTGTTTATGAGAAGTGTCTTAGAGTTGTGAACTTATGATGTAAAGAGGTTAATAAGAAAGTCCGACAAATTGGTTCTTTCACAACACATGGCGCACCCCTGAAGAACACACCACAACCTGCCACTATTTCGTAATAAATGTGAGTAGAAAATGCATAATTTATAAATCTATCCCAATCTTATCAATTTTAACACTGCCCTTGCACCTAGACTATTTATTTACAAAAGCCAGACCTCAATAATTGTATTTATTCCCAAAATCACCATGCGGATTCCTCGAGGCTTCAGTATCGACTCAGAGTTGGGAACGGCGGAGAAGATGTACAAGCTCATTACAACATTTCACCTGACTGAATAAGAAATGCTGGAGCCTAAATGAAATGGAGCCTCATTATTCTGCGCCGCTGTGTGCACTTCATTTTACAGACTTAGATTGAATAAATGTGCCCAGAGCCAAATGTAAATATTTTATCACAGTCATAGTGGGATAAGAGGGGAAGTAACCTTTTAAATATTAGTTTGGAAATGTTCAGTTTATGATTTGTGTAGTAGTTTATCGCCCGCTGAAGTCACCCTGTGTTTTATTATCTGACCTTAATATTCCAGAATCAACTAAATATGGTTTTATTGCTGAAAATGCAAGCAACACATAACTTTCTGAGCTTTAGCATCTGACACTAATGGTCCCTTTAAATGCTTCCAATTGCTTTTATAAAATGGTTGCCTTTTGCTGGTCAGAACAAGCTTTGAAAGAATGCAGACTTTTAGAAAATTGACAACAAATGTGTGGGGGTGTGGCCCTTCGACTTGTAGGCTTGGGGCTGTACAAATTAAACTATTATCCACACCTCAAATTATCAGCGTGAAGTACTGAAAGTAGTGTTTGAACCAAAATCAGTAATATATATTGTAGTACAAATGTATTTTGATCCCAGTAACTAATTTTATAAATATAGTACTATTTTAGATGTATCCAATACTCCAATCCAATCCACTTTTTTTATATAGCGCTTTGGTCCAGCCTCAGAGAAGGCCCTGTCCCCCCGGGTTTTACAATACTGTACATGGACCTCAACCTTACCATCTCAACATTCATATTTGGGGAAATATTTCCATTTCACTCATGGGGCTGTTTGACGCTTTAAAAATGTCACATACCGATGTTAAATCTTTTGATATGGAGATGAATTAGTTTCCCGGTTTTTGCACGTGTAAACATATAGAAAAGACATCCACATCTGATCATTTCATGCCGGTCGCCTCCTCATTTCTGCTTTCTGAAGCTGGTTGCCTGTTGCAGCTGCTTGTACTCGGTGCCTGGGTTTCCTCTTTTGGGTGGCAACTACACAACTGCAGGCTTATCTCCCGTGCCCAGCTCCGGGGCCTTCACAGAGGCTTTATCTGCCCGACACACGCACACTGTGGGCTGGGTACAATGTCAGCGCATCCCCCCCCCTTAAGTCAGCTCATTCCTGCTGACTCCAGTGCAGCAGCAGCAGCACCAGAAGTGGCAGCAGTAGCCCCCCACAGTGATGCAGCAGGCGGTCACCCAACAGTGAGTAGACGGCATTACAGCACATGTCACGGATGGCACAGTCCAATTAACACCAAAAACGGCTCACTCTGCTCTCTGGCCTCCAAAAACCTGCATCTGCTTGTTGCTTACAGAGCTTTTCTCCTTGCTGCATTAGTACACACAACATACCACATGTGTAGCTTTGAATAATAGCAGTTTTGAGTTTATAAAGCTGGAGTATCACACTTTCAAATCATAAAAAATGAAATCTTGTACAGATATTGTCATGAGTTTGGTGTCCAGATTATTGAAGGACAATGGACCAGAAGTTTATGAAGTTTATGAAGACCAAAATTAGCTCTAAGTCCAAGGGTCAGCCATGAAGTGAGGGGCAGAGTAACATACAGTACCAACATTGTATCTATACTGTCAATGTAAGAAATTCCAGAGTGTGAATGTCAACCCAGACAGGAAGGACTAGATTTAAGAATCATGATTGAAGATATCCATTATATGTCCCACAGTGGAAATTTCAGCGTTGTATCACAAGAGGAGTACACTGAAAAGATAAGTGAACTATAACTCTATACAAAAATAATATATCTAAATTCACCATCATTAAGAAGCAAGTGTACAATATCCATATTTAGTGTAATGGAGAACAATAAATAGGCCAAAAACTGAAGAAAAGTGAGCAGAAGTTTGCAACACCAGACTCTAATTCAGATTCAGTTTATTTGCCATTTGCAGTAAAAACACCACATAGGAATACATTAGCAAAAAGTATCCAGTGTGCACAGACAAATACAGACATAAAACAACATTAAAAGACAAAAATAAAACAAATAAAACAGTAAACAAGTGTCACTGTGAAATCGATCGACTCAGTTTCAAAACAAGTGCAAATCAGCTCTGTTCACACTGATAACAGCTTGTGGATAAAAACTGTTAGCCTAACGAGATGTCCTGCATCTCAGAGAGCGATATCTTCTGCCAGAGGGAAGAAGCTGGAACATGGCTTTCCCAGGGTGGCCAGAAGAGTCATTGACAATCCTAAAACTTATTATCAAGTTTTACATCAAAAGACCCTGGGGATAATTTACACAATAGCCATGAATTCAACAGTTTAAAAAAAAAAAGCTTCTTGATTGACTGAACGATCATGTTTGTAATTCCAGATAATTACATATCTCATCTCTTTTAGGCCGAGACTGTCTATGGTGAAGAGGCCGTCCTCAGACTTCGAGTACCAGCACACGGCAACGCTCGACCCGGGGCACGAGTGGGACGCCTGGGGGTCAGAACCGGGACTGGGCGTCACCACGACAACCATCACCACGATCTCGCAGACCGGTGGAGACTGGAGCACGGGGCTGTTCGACATCTGCAGTGACAAGAACACCGGTAACACTGCAAAGTATAGAATTCAACAAACATCTGATATCAATCAATCATTTACTATCTAAATGTTTATTACCAAACCTGTAAACACAATATCACAAAATAACAGAGACAGCTTTGTGTACCCTTCACCCATTCCAGCTCGGTCTCTGTCCTGTGAGAGTATGATTACCAATTGTACCACTATGACATCACGCTCGGAGCAATTGTCTGCCTTTTACTACGCAAGCATGGCCCATATATTTGATTTGTCAATTTATCAAGTGAAATTATGTTATTTGCAATTTTTTGTCAGTGTATGGAGTATGTGGTTGCAGCTGGTAATTATCAAATTTAGAACATACAATTCTACACCTCCCTCTGGTGGAAGCATAGGGGTAGGGCAGACTGATGCTATTTTCTTTACCCTTCATACTTGTGTGATCAAATAATTTTTTTACTGAATTTATTAATCCACGTTCATTCTATTTTTTTCAAGCGTCTAAACAGTAAAACACAGTACTGTATTTTAAATGCAAAAAATTTTCCATTGTGAGATCAGTTTTTATATTAACAGTACATACTTGTTATTACCTGTTATAAGCACCTCGACATGAAGCGTTTATACGTTTTAAACTTTTCCTTCCACATTGCTTCAGGGATTCTTGGAGCATTTGCACCGTGCCTGTTGGACCTCAGTTTGGCGCATCAGTTTGGTGAGACTTTCTGCTTGCCTCTCCTGCCGGGGTCCACACTCGCACTCAGAGTCGGGATCCGAGAACGATACAAGATCCAGGTGTGTGAGGAGGCTGTTTTAATTCTATCGCGTTTAGAAGAAAAGATGCAGCAAACGTTAATGTTAAAATTGATAAATCGCTAATCGACCTTTACTTTCTCTGTGTGGGGAAGTGAACTGGCCTGAGTGAATGAGAGACAGACTTAATGCGTAATAGGTATAAACCAAACAGTGTATTCCAGAAGTAAAGCACTTTTAAAAAACCGGCTGCACTGTCATCTTTTGTCTGTGCTGACAAGTTTCACCTGGGAGCCTCTAAACCTGGCTGGCCTCACCCACAGGGTTGGCCCAAGACTCCAAAATGGCCGGCTAGGGCACGCCCTCTCATAAGTGATTGAAAATGGATGAAAAAATTTAAATTAAAACAAAAAACTATGTTGTGATAACTGAACATTTGGGAGGAAATCAGCTGTTGGGTTTTAGAGAAAAATAAGAATACAAAAGTGAAAAGCATGGCATTAAAAAAGGGACAAAATAACCCAAGTCACATTCAGTACGCACATATTTTACTGTCCAAAGCTTCCATAAATGAGTCCCATTGTTCCCACAGTTCTAAATTTCAGCTCATATATTTTACAGAATAAATAACCACCTGTTTGGTTCTGTATCTCCTTTGAATGTAGGTTTTGCGGCTGATTCGTTCTATCTATGGGCTTTTCTTTAGGGCAGCGTCTGTGACGACTGGACCACCGTGTGTTGCTGTTATCCTCTGGCCTTGTGTCAGATGAAGAGAGAGATGAAGAAGAGGATGAAGACGAAGACCTACCATGTAACCACAGCTATGGACTGCTCCTAAAGGATCTCAGGACAAAATAAAGATGAGAATAGACCACAGTTCAGATGCAGTGTGGAGCTGCCAAGGTGACTGCTGTGAATAATATGACAGGGATAAAACTGGCTGTAGATTATATAAGTCTTCAGTATTGGACATGCAAAATCACTAACTCCTGAGATATTCTTTCAGCTCTCAGGAACTTTTTGCGGCATGGGGATCAAAAATAAGATACATTTCTATGTAAGCTTAAAAACCACCTAAAAACAGACTGACATAGATAAGACGTGAAGGTAATGACACTATTATTTCAAAGCCAAAACTCATCAAGTTCAGTTTGTTCTGCCGACAAAACAGAGGCGCTTGATGCACTCCTGGTTTATACGTTGTCAGGAGATAACCACAAATTCCAATTACCTTTAACAACGCAGAGAATGCTTTTAGAAAACACAGTTCAAAAGAATATGCAAATAGTTCGTGTAGATCAGGGGCTGGGAATATATTTTTGATGGGAGGCTACACGTGAATATGGTCAGTTTGGGGAGGGTCAGACCCGATTTCATGATTTCATTTTGTATTTGATAAACAAGATATTTAAATGTTTTTTTAGTCCATATTTTTTGGTATCGCAACAAAATACCACAGCAATCCAGCAAGTACAACAATAATAAATCCCAAGAAAAAAGAACAGGAGTAGGATGAAGACATTTTTTATTTATTTATTTAAAGAAGAGAAGGAGGTTTAGTTATCAAATAAACTTATCAACAGGCAGCCGTGTTTAAGTGGACAGCATGAAGTTAACGGCTGGAGAGGGTTTGAGGGGCACATAGAAACGTGAAAGGGGCCACAACCTGGCTCCCGGGCCGCAGTTTGCCTAGTTATGATGTAGCGTGTAGAAAATATATTTGTGAATATGTTTGTTTTTTTAGATTTGTTATTGCAATGCGGAAATGACACGAGCTAGACATGTTCGGCTTTAGATGTATAAAAGCCGATTTGAACATAAGCTAACTGGAGCAAATTTCCTTATATGGGCATTTGTTCTTTGTCGTGGGTTCGAGCCCACCTTGAGACCTTCTTCACGACTCCCACTGATGACTGCTGCCGTTGTGTACTTGGGCAAGACACTTAACCCCTCTTTGTCTGAAGCCCCTGCTGAAAGATCTCAGCTCCTGTGGACTCACCACCTGCAGGAGGATCAGTGAGGGGCTGGTGCTATGTGTACTGGGTGCAGCTCTGACTGCCACCCCTCCGACCCAGAAATAGATTAAAGGGAAGAAAATGGATGGATGGATGGCATTTGTTCTGATGTCTTTCGCTTCACACGGTAGCAGGGGCAGACGTGTTGCTAAGATGGTTGCTAAGGCAAGCTGGAGTTTCCCCTGCAAACATCTTGCATCTAATTGGTTCATCCTGATATGGCTCATATCTGGATTTACAAAGACACTATCTAAAAATAAATCAAAGTGCAAAACGATTTTTTAAGCCCAAAATGGTGAGTATGACACAAAGGTTTACTGAGCTAGAGGAGTTTATTTTTCAATGTGAGTCAATAGGAGCAAAACTTCCCTATTGGGTTGCATTGAGCCAGGAGGTTAGCATTGTTCATCTATGTAAAGTCTAGACTCTATGATAAAAAAGGCACCTTTCAATGTCAAACAATTGCAACTATAGCAAAATCAAAGACTTATTTATGTCATCGATGTTTGAATTGTGAAACGAGATAACCATTTTCTTGACTTTTAGGCTTGTCGGTGAAAGGGGCCCACATTACCTTAATCAGTTACTTTTGCATTTCTTAAAAACAAGTCTGTCTTTTATCAAATTCAAAATAAAACATTGCTGGCGTCACTAATGCCTTTTAAGTCTCCTGGCTCAGCTGTGAAATTCTTTTTAACATTTTCTTTGTCAATAATTCACAGCAGTTGCCTTGTTTAGCCTTTGATTGATCCATGTCCTGCTGCGCTTCACTGGAATCAAATCCCAAGACACAAATATAATTATGTTGTTGCACTAATGTCGTGATTAACGCCATTCGAGAACAAACACTTTTGCAACGAAGCACTTGAAGAATGCCTCTTATGACTTTGTGTATCAAAGCAATTAAAATCATTATTTCGTTTGCGAATTGTGTACGCATCCATAGAAAGATGATTAATTGCGACCATTGAGCTAAATGAGTCGCTCTGTATGCAAGGCACCTGTGCTGTCTTGCCTCTCAATACAGTTCAAGTACTCTGGCAATAATAAAAACCCATTTCCATTTCCCCCCCTATTTATTCTGACTTTTTTCCCTGCCGCTGCAACCTCCAGGCATTCAATCACATTATTAATCCCATTTTGATTGCTGCGTTGTGCCCTGAACGCAAAATGCCAGGCAACAGGAAATATGAAAATGGTATTTATACACACAAAAGGGGATGTTTCATCTATTGGAATTGTATCTAATATTCTAATTAAATCATCACTACAAGAATAAGAAGAATAATACAGATGAAGTCGGTTAAATGTTATATGTTCTTGTCACATCATGTATGTTGAGATGTGTCACTTTGATCCCTGATGCCTGGCGGTCTGTCTGCTTGTCTGTGTTTAAAGGGGGCATCATGTTGTCCCTTACCATTTAAACACCCAGTTGTTTTTAGAATGGCTCATGCATGTTTGAATTATTTATATTTTCTTACTCCCAAGATGCCACAACTTCTCCACAGAGGACTCAATGTGGGTGTGGGTAGACTTTTTTTCTATCATAACTTTATTTTTGCTCAACATTGAGGATTCAAATGTAATAAAATATAAGCCACGGGTGTCATTGTTTATTCCTCTGAAGCAGACAGAAGTATGTTATGTCTTTAAAGTTCTCTCCATGTCTGGGTGAGTTTCCTCCAGGCGCTAAAAACAAATTGGTTGGAAAAACAAACTAAATAACTATCTATTTGGTTGAGCCAATAGGTTGGATAGACAGATAAATTGGTCAGAATGCAGTTAGCTGGCTCTATTGTTGTGTCTTTAGGCAAGAAACTTCACCCACATTGCCTTGTATGAGTCTCATATGAATGCTCGGTGGTGATATATTCGTCACTATATCTGGCACTGCAGCCAATACAGTCCAACGAGATTGTTTAAAACAACCAAAAATATCTGTTTTAGAGTTCAAAGTGGTGAGCCAGTGAGCGAGCGAACGGATACTGACTTTAGTGAAGCGCTTTGAGGAATTCAACAAGCTTGTAAAGCACTAGACAAGTGCAAGGCAGTTTTCTTATCAAATTGAAGGGTCAGTTTGAACCTCATAAATATGACCCATAAATGCTTCCTTCTTTGCTGAGTGGAGGTATCGTCTGAGTGTGAATGAATTGAAATGAAGTGCTTTGTCTATAAATACATACATTTACTTGTTCCTTGCACATGAATCGACGGTTTGGCTTGTCTTTCATTAGAGGCAATTATAGTACTGAGCGTAGCATTGACCTTTGAGCCACATCCTTCTACAGGTTACTCATATTTCAGGTCTCAATACCGTTTTATTCCCTGGCTTGTGAGTGTGGACTTCCCCAGGTAAAATCAGAGCCTTTATGTGAGTTTCTTTGGGAACTCAGTGGCTTAAGTCTGAGATGGCCGCAAGTAATCCTGAACTCATCCCTGCTTATACAGCTCAGGCTTCTGCTCAGAACCAGGATTACTAAAGAAAAGTCTCGATAAATAAGTCCTGCCGGGCACATATACAGAGTTGTCAGGGAGCCAACAAAACCAGAAATCCCATCTCATATCACTCTATTATAAGTGACGATGGTGCTCTTGATATTTGGGGCTTTGTGCTGATAATAATTATACATTTTTGTCTATTGCTTTATAAAAATACCCTCCCTTAATGGAAAGATCAATACTTCATTTTTCACACTATACTCTGTCCTGCGACTCTCCTGTGTGTCTGAATCTCATTTTGGGAAAGCAGAGAGACTCATACCTTTTGAAACCAGGGACAAAAAAATTGTTCCTAAAAAGCTTTTACTATATTATCATAATTAAAGCTGGGCTACCTACATTTCAAACCACAAAAATAAAACATCTAACAAGTACCTATTGCTCTCCAAAAAGTTCTGTCTCGACGTTCTCATGTATTCACTTTATATCAGCTTTTTCAGACCGAAAAAACAAAAAGAGCGGACCACCCTCACTCAGCCAATCAGCTCTCAGCCCAAACCATCAAATACTGACTCACAGGGCTCTTTTGTACATGTATGCCAAATATGTGATGATTCTGTCACGATATTTTTCTATTTGGATGAAAAAATATGTACCCCAGGAGTCCAGTTTTCTGATTAGATATTATGAAAAAAATAAAAATCTATACCTCATAATTTCTCATTTATCAGAGCGATCATGACCTCAGCACGAGCTCCTTCCCCGTGGCTCCAGTAGGGGGCAGTGTTGCTTCAGTCCGCTCCTCACTTACACTTACAGTACAGTGGATTCTTTTCTCCCTGAAGTTGCTCTGGGATGAGAGGCATCTGAACTGATCAGGAGTCGGGGCTGGGATATCCCACTCAAGTCAAGGTCAAAGTCTCAAACAGTGAGGCTGAAGGCTCTTTAGCCTCCAGTAGTCCTGCAAAACTTGACAGTGTTAAATGTTTTGTGTTCATTTTTGCCTTTCTCTCCCAAAGGGCCACTTCTCCAAAGTCCAGTTACAGGGCAGATATTGACAATAGCCTCCTTTTACTGATGCATTTGTAGAAATCCGAAAGACTTCTTGCCTCACACACTGTCTATTTCCTGTTTTTTCCTTTAAAATGCATTCTGCTTTCCTGTTTCTTTTCCTTTGTTTGGTGGATATTTGAACTGTGTTTCTGAATGTTTGTGCGAGAGAGAGAGAGGATAAAATGGCTGGAGAAAAGAGGAGACAGAGACTTGCTAAGCTTGCATCCCCCGGAGATACTTCTAACCAGGACAACCGAGCCACCTGGGTTTTACATAAGCACACACGCACACGCACACTCTCTCACACAGACACACACACAGACACACA